TGGGATTGCTGGATTTGGGTTCCCAGAGCTGCCCTTTTTGGGGGAGCTCCTCACCCCTGGCTGGGAGTGTCCCCACTGTCCCCACCCCAGCAGGGCTGTCCCTCTGCACCAGGGGCAGCTTTGGACCCTTCTCTCCTTGATGAGCTGAACAAACCCCGGGTGCTGCAGCTGCCTGGGCTGTCAGTGCCACACTGCTCAGTCACCAGGGGAGATCCAGGCTGGACACGACCCTGTGCCATTGTCACTGCCCTGGATACCCCCTGGGCACCGCTGGACACCCCCTGGACACCCCCTGGGCACCCCCTGGACACCCCTGGGCACCCCCTGGGCACCCCTGGGCACCCCCTGGACACCCCCTGGACACCCCGTGAGCACCCCTGGACACCCCTGGGCACCCCTGGGCACCCCCTGGGCACGGGGCCACAGCTGGGGGTGCCCAGGGAGCAGCTGCAGTGAGGAGGCTGCCAGGGCTCAGGGATTCCTCATAGAGATTCCTCATGGGATTCCTCAGGGATTATTGATGGGATTGCTCCTGGGATTCCTCATGGATTCCTGATGGGTTCTTTAGGGGTTCCTGATGGTTTCTTTAGGGATTCCTGATGGGTTCTTTAGGGATTCCTGATGGGTTCTTTAGGGGTTCCTGATGGTTTCTTTAGGGGTTCCTGATGGTTTCTTTAGGGATTCCTGATGGGTTCTTTAGGGATTCCTGATGGTTTCCTCACAGCTGTGGCTGCAGGGACACGGGGCTGGGGCAGCCTGGGGGTGTCCCCGAGTTTTGGGATCTCCCCAGGGCAGAGCAGGAGCCCGGAGCCTTTGCCATGGGCTCAGCTCCTGCTGTGCCACGAGATTTCCCTGCCCAGCTGAGCAGGGACATCTCAGTGCCATGTCCCACATTTCCCGTGCTGACTCTTCCAGAGTATTTTTTTTTTTTATTTTATTTTTATTTTTATTTTTTTTTTAAATGAAGAAACTTTTTAATGAAGATTTTTATATGAAGAAACTGCTTAGGAGTCAGCTGGGTTTGAGCATCCTGTGAGCTGCTGTTGTTTGTTCTAACTATGAACTCTTGATGTTCATATATCTTTTTTTTATTTTAATTTTGAAGATATTACCTAATTTTATAAATTTCCTATCCCTGTGTTCATTCAAGAACATAATAAATAAATTTTGCACATTTGCTTCTTTTCCCTGCCTTGGTTCTGTGTGGTGACTTGGAAGCTGTTCCTTCTGAAAAACCCAGTGTGAGGGGAAAAAATGGAATATCCCAGAGAAATGACACAGAAATGGAATGAATGGCGTGGTTAATCACATAGAAATGGAATTAATGGCGATTAATTACACAGAAATGGAATTAATGGTGTGGTTAATCACATAGAAATGGAATTAATTGTGATTAATTACACAGAAATGGAATGAATGGTGTGATTTGGACAGGAGTTCATCCATGGGAAGGATTTCACTGCAGGATCATTCACAGGCAATCCCCATTTCCCTCTGGAGTGCAGAACCAAATGCATCTTCATAAATTGATATTTATTATTATTAATAATAATATTAATATTATCATTATTATTATTATTATTGCATTTTATGCTCTAAATGTGCTTATAGCAAATCTTGTACCAGCTCTTATCAGTGGGGCCAGAAGCAGCAAAACCAGAAGAATGAGATGGAAAAACTACATGAGTAAATGGGTATTTAAATTATTAATTTTATTGATTTAAATTATTAATATTATTATTAATTAATTAATATTATATATTAATATATATTATTAATATATTATAAATAAATTATAAATAATAATAATTAATAATAATAAATAAATTATAAATTATTAAAATATATTAATATTATTATTTTTGTTATTAGTAGTAGTATTACTATTACTATCATTACATCATTATTATCATTACCATCATTATAATTATTTAAAAATTAATATCTATAAATAATAGAATATATAATAATATCTAATATATACTTAATAATATATATTATTATTTACTAATATAGATTATAGATGATACTATATGATTTTATTTTTATTTTAACAAAAATATTAATTATAATAGTTTAATATTTATTTTAATACTATTACCATTATTATTATGATCATTATCATGATATTCTTATATATTGTTATGTATATCATATATTAATTTTATATTGTATTTATTTTAACATTAATAATTTAATATTTATTTTCATACTATTGCTATCATTATAATGATAATTTTTATCATTGTAATATATTATTTACTATTTTTATTTATTATTTCCCTTTCTATTTCAGGTCTCTGCTTGGCTTTTATTTAATATTTCCCTTTTTATTTCAGGTCTTTACTTGGCTTTTATTTAATATTTCCCTTTTTATTTCAGGGCTCTGCTTGGTTTTTATTTCTTTCCCATCAGGGTGGATTCTTTCCATTTTGGGTATTTTTGGGAAAGGGGAGGAGGCTCCTGAGCTCTACCTGGGAAAAGCAAATTAAAAATCATTTTAATTGCATTAAAGTGCATTGAAAAGGATTGCACTGCATCCCTGGAAATGTCACAGCTGGAAAAAGGAAAAACCTGGGACACGTTTGGGGTCCTTCCCTGGGAATGAGGGAACATCTGGAACCTCTGGGAGTGGGGGAATGGGAAAATGGGAATGGGGAAATGGGAATGGGGAAATGGGGAAATGGGAATGGGGGAATGGGGAAATGGGAATGGGGAAATGGGAATGGGGGAAATGGGGAAATGGGAATGGGGGAATGGGAATGGGG